GGGGGGATGGTCACGCCGCAATCCCTTCTCCTCCCTTCTCCTCTCGGGATCTTGGGCACGCACGTACACGCGCCCGGCGTGAGTTTTAAGCCACCGGGTCCGGGACACGAACCGCGGTCGACTACGTGGGAGTCCAGCGACATAGCCATTACGCTAACTGCTGGTTCCCTCAAGTAAATTTTTATATTGGTTGTGAGCTTGACTGTTTGGTGTCCTGGAATTCCCATGAGAAGGAAGAAGTCTTGTTTAATGCTTACCCTGTGAGTATGAAGGCCTCTCTAGTCTAAACCACTGGGCAGGAATGTCAAATGCAAGGCTTTGGAGAGCCAGGACTCCAACAGCAAGTCAAGAAAAGGAAGATGCACAGTCCCCCAGGTATCTGGGCTTTCCTCTAGCTCTCCTTCCTACCAAGGCTCATGGATGGGGAGTCAGAGGTATTAGCACATGGTATAGGGTCAAGTATGGGGTCAATGACAAAGACATGAAAGGGATCAAGCAATGACCTGTTTTACCTGCAGTGACACTATAATGCTAGGCTCACTTCAAAGCAAATCTTTCCAGAGAGGATGCTGGTTTAGGAACTGCCATGGGCACCAAGACACAGCCCTATGCTTAACTGAAGCTCGACCTGGCCGGAGGGGTGTAGAGATGCAGATGGTGTCTGCTTGAGTCTATTAGGTGAGCCAGTTGGAAGTCTCCTGATGAGGATGCTTCTCCTTCTTAGTTCCTCTGAGGGAAGGAATGGGCAGAGTTTGTGTCTTAATTCTCTAAAATGCAGAAAAGGAGTGGACATTCTGGAGATGATGGCCAAAGTAAGAACAGCTCAGAGATCCAGGGATGGTGTTGAAGAAGGCAAGCAGTCAGGAGGGATAGAGTAAGTGCCAACCGGAATGAATTGGGAGAAATCCCAAAGTGGGGTTTATGAGTTGTGTGTGTGTGGGAATCCTGAAGTGACTCTGGGTCCAGTTGCAGACACCAGGCCAGCCTTTCTACCCAAAGGGACCTTCTGCTCAAAGCTCTCGCCTCTCTGCACCACACTCCCTCTATTGCCTGTGGGCTCAGACCCAAGCGGGAGTTCTGCTGTATCTGTGGTGCCTGACAGCTTCTCAACAGCTTTCACACAAACAACCACGGTACACATCTTTTCATTTTTGCTACTTCACAGTTTAACTTTTCACAGATGTTTTTTATTGTGAGGTGAGCAGAACAAAATTAGTTCCAACTACAGTGGAAGAAACAGAGACTCAGAAGGACTCTATCTTCCCCAAGAATGCAGATCTCAAAATGGCAGAGCTCAAGTTTATGGGAAGACAGGGAAAGGGTTGTGAAGTGTGAGAATCACCACAGGGGGCCTCTACAAGAAGGGTTATTGAGGATCAGGCCAGAGGTCCCCAGGACACAAACCACATGTCTGAGTCTCTCTTGGTGCTTTTCCTTCTGGCCAAAACAGAAGATTCAGTTAATTATTCATGGTACCTTGCCATGGCCCCGACCTATGGAGGTCAGGTCTAATGCAAAGGTGACAAAACCCTGTGCTCATGGTAACTGGCCAAGGCAGCAAATTGTGGGCATTAGGAGGGGCTTTTCCTGTGATGTCAGGAAGCATGCTGTTCTGTTCCCTTTGTCGTGAGAACGTCATAGAACTCCTGCCTTTGCAAATAAGGGAAGGCCCTTGCTTTAGAATCATAGACACCAGTGTACACTGGACAGGTGCCCTATGGGGAGTTCATCTCTGGTAGAAAATGGGAAATTTAGAGGGAGAGAGGGATTTTTGGAGTGGTGCTTATAGCTCTGAGCCTCTATCTGAAAGGGGATACACAAGAGCATGAGGACCTTTCCGATCCTGATATTTTGAAAACTTTCTTAAAATAAATGATCATGTCCACAGCATAGTCTGAGGTCAGCTTTCTTCAAAGTAGAACCTTACAGACAGACAATAGCTGTGGACAAAGGCCGTTACCACACACTTGAGATTCAGATGTGTAGCATAGGTTCAGACCGAGACGCCCAGACTCTATTCAGATACCTGATCAGTCCCTGCTACTATTCACTCTGAACTACAGATTTCTTTGTCTACTTTTTTTTTTTGGAGAGGCTTTTGCTATAGGGGGGTGTGCTCGCCAGAAAGAGAGAAACAGAGAGACAGAAAGTGAGAAATCACCCCCACGGTAGATGGCCACACTGCAATCCCTTCTCTTCCATTCTCCTCTCGGGATCTTGGGCATGCATGCACACACACCTAGCATGAGTTTAGGCCACAGGGTTCGGGACTCAAACCATGATCAACAACATGGGAGTCCAGTGACATAGCCATTTCGCCAACTGCTGGTCTCTCTTTGTCTACTTCTTTAAGACATTCTTCTGGTTCATATTTAGTGCTTAGCATGTCCTTCATTCATGATAATAGTGAGTAGTTTCTGTGTGCTAACTATACACCAAACATTGCCTAGATCTTTCATGGACTTTTTATCATTTTTTTTATCACAGCCACTAATAGTGTTGCTCTTTTTTTTTTGGGGGGGGGGAAGATTTTTTCCTATAGGGCACATATGACAGAAAGAGAGAAAGGGAGCAA